ATAGAAAAGCTGTTACATCTAGTATTCATTACAGAAAAATTTATTATATTCAGATTAATAATTTCTAAATAATTTTTTTTTTTTTTATGAATATCAAGTAATTCTACTACAGAGTTTGAAGCAGTTTCCAGTTCAGGAAATAAAACTAAGTAAGTTTTATTTAGTTGATTGATTGTTTTACAGTTTCTTGTTTGCTAACAATAAATTATTTTTAAGCAGTTCACAAGACTCTTTTAGTGATGATGAATTATGTCAAAGCCTCCCACAGTTATATGTTGGTCTTACATTCAATTTATGAGAAGATGTAGAAACTTTTGTAAAGTTGTATGGAAAAAGTAAAGAGTTTTCTTTTTGACGAAGTAGAAATGATTTTCATTCTGACCGTTTGACTATTCGTCACTGTAGTTATGAATATTCATATTCATGAGTATATAAAGCAAAAAAAATAGTTGATAATACCAAATATCATGACTGTCAATCTGCGACAATTAGCTGCAAGTGGCACATAAATTTTAATAATTGAAAGAATACCACCCAAATTGTCTGCACTACATTGGAAGATAAGCACAATCATGTAATGAATCCTATAGTTGTTCAGACAGCACCACAGTTTCGTAAATTATCTAGTGAAATGTTAAATGATATATAATTTTATACATATTCAACAGAAGGCATTGGTGCTAAATTGCAATATAATCTTCTAAAAGCGAAATACCCAGGCAAGTATATTGATAAGAAAGATCTATATAATGCTATCCAGAAGTTCCGAATACTATTATATAACAAGGTAAAAACTGATACTATAGAAACTCTACAACAATTAATAGCATTAAGAGCAAATAATCCTGAATAAGTAGTTGTACCTAATATTGAAGATGAAGAAAATAGGTTGACTGCACTTTTTTGGATATCTTCTTTACAAGTATCACTATGGATACAATTTTGTGATATTGTGATAACCGATAATACCTGCAAAACAAATTGCTATGATATGCCATTGTGTCTTTTCTTAATCATAGATAATGATACCCGTTCACTTGTAGTTGCACAGGCTTTATTAAAAGATGAAACCCAGGCTTTTTTTGAATAGTTAATGTTTTTTACATTTATATCATTAGAAATTTGATGTTTTACACCCATGTCAGATTTTGTAACAAACTTCTGCGCCTATACTTTAGTCAATAATTGTTAGTGGTTGTAATCGGTTTGGCATTAGTCAATAAATCGATTTAGTTGACTAAGTATGTTGATTTTTAAAAAAAATTAACTTAGTAGATTCATGACAATGTATATAGGAAATATTCTGATGATTTAGATGATTTAGACAATCAAACTACTTTACAATAGTGGATAGCAGAAAATTCAAGGAATGTGGTTTTTTTTTACAAACTATATGCTAATTGACCATGCATAGCAGGCTCAACAAAATTTTAATTTTTGACTTACAGCTGCTATCATTATTCCATCTTGTAAAAAATAAGCCAAATGATTATTCTGCCGATTCGATAAGTTATTGATTTTGGTATGATCAATGTAAGTACTATTTATTTACAAAGATGGTCTAAAGCCAGGTACGTACTGTATGTACGTAGATGCTAATCGATTTGTAAGGCTTTAAATAACCTCTATTTATAGTACAACAATGACACAATTATTAATCGATATAGCTCTAGTTAAGTATTATACTTTAGAAGCATATTCACTAGAAAGTAGTGAAAATTTGAACAACTGCTAAGCACTTAGGTGTTAGCAAATTATCAATAAGTCGAGTTTTTAACCTATTTCAAAAATACGGATGCGTTGAAAGACTTCTGCCACTTGTAAAAAAACCACGTCTATTAAACCTGAATGGTACAAAATATATTAAGACTTTAATGAAAGAAAATCTAAACTGATCTTTGTATAAATTACAATTTAAAATAGAACTTTAGTTAGGACGTGAAAGTAGAAATCGTTTGAAGCCTTGTAGTTTCACATGAATTTAATTTACAAATCAATTAGCACCTTAGTATATACTAAGCTTTAGATCGAATCGGCAGAATAATCATTCGGTTAATTTTTCATAAGGTGTTACAAGAATAATGATAATAACTATAATTAAGTCAACAAATTTATATTGACTACAAACACAGCTCAGCAATTTTTAATTTTTAGCTTATGTCAAAAAAATTGGATCGACTACAAACATTAATTATTAAATCCCCAAATATGAATAAATGTTCCTTTATAAAATTTTGTAAAATGGTAATACAATCGCAAAAAAGCACTATTATACTTGAAAGCAACAATTATTTGCAAAGAATTTTATCCATATACACATTACATGACCGTGTAGGGTGGGCAGAATCTGACATAAGTGTGAAAATATCAGTTTTCTATTATTATTATTGTTCATTTATCTTATTAGCTTTTTTTTTTTATATTCTCATAACTCTTATTTTAACAATGTTACAATTTTTTAGGGTTTAAGAACAATTGAATAATGCAACGAATCAAATCATTTCAAGGACCGTTTATACAGATGCTGATCTAGCTATGGATGCAGCTTTGAGAACTATGTAGCCTGATACACATCATTCTTACTGCATTTTTCATCTAAATAATAATTTTGTGAAAAAATAAAAGCCATTATGGGTAAAAAATTCGGCGAGTGTCATAAGCTTTTTATCGATCTCAGAATAGTTTGTTTAAAGTTAATTTTGAGTGTTGTTGGGCAGAATTTGTAGAATTTCTTAACTCATTTCCTAAGGCATCACGATATACACTTGAAACACTTTATTCTATATATTGTAGCTGGGCACTCTGCTATACACAAACAAGGTTTATAGCTGGAATTCAAAGTATCCAAAGAGTTAAAAGTATGAATGCAATTATTAAAAAAGAGGTATCACGTAGTTCAACATTGTTATATTTGATTGATGCCATACAAAATCGTTTAGATAAAGAAGCACGCTATGCATGAATAAATAAGCAGAAAAATATTAATCTATCCATAGGCTTGCCTTATGTTGCTAATCACTATTTCTCTGCTATTGATTCATTAATTCAAAAATACTTAACTCCACATGTTCTATCCCTTCAACGGCAACAACTTTCTGAAAGTTTCTTATATAATGTATCCGAAATCACTTATGAGTGGGATAATAATATCCCGGAACCAGCAAATATTATTGAGAATGGATATTTAGAGGATGACTATGAACGAAGTCAAACATGCCTTAACATATTACTACAACCTTTGTCACGTGATGATGTTGTGCAGATCTGGTCCGTAGTACCACAAAAATTATTTAGAAATTATTAATCTGAATATAATAAATTTTTCTGTAATGAATACTAGATGTAACAGCTTTTCTAT